TGGAAAACAGTGTAATTATTTTCAAGAAATAACGTTTATGTTTCTGCCAACCAGGGGTGGGTTCCTGCCAGTTCTAACCTCTTCTATAGAAGATGTTCCACAAATCTACAGTGCCATTTAGAACTGGTTCCAACTCCCCTCGCCCGTCCGCACATCATCAAGATGAGGAGTGAGAGGAGGAATTCTGGGAGTTGAAGTCCACAGGTCTTAAAGCTGTCAAGTTTGAACACCCCTGGGGTTTTTTTTCTAAAGGGTTAGGGGTGCAAGGGTCTTGTAACTTGACAGCTTTAAGACTTGCGTGCTTCAAATGCCAGAGTTTCTGAGCCAACATTTTGGTTGCTAAGCAAGAGCATTGTTAAGTGAGTTTCACCACATTTTACAAGTTGGCCACGCCCAGAGTCACATGGCTGGCAAGCCACTCCCACCCAATCACATGGCCAGCAAGCCACTCCCACAAAGCAGGCCACACCTACAGAAGAGGTTCTAAAAACATTGAAACCCACCACTGTTACCAACGTAATTCTAGTATCAAAATGACAGCTCTCATTGAAGACTTCCCAGTGAAATGGGCTTTAGTTGACACTGACTGTTTGTTTTGGATCTGCAGAAACTCACTAAAATTCCATATTTTAAAGTAAACTCAAAGAATAAAAACATTGATCAGAATTTTAATTCCCATTGGTTCACTTGGTATGGTCAATCACAAAGGGTTATTGAAGTTGTAGTAAGAAACACCTGCTGGGTAGCACTGCCTGGTCCATTACTGTGTAGAAACTTTTGGCGGAAGCATAAAATCCTTCTATTCCATTTTCTCTTCTATCATCTTTCCTTCTCACATTATTCATATTTAATCTTTCTATGTTGTAATTTGGTTTCAATTTATTTCAGCACCTGCTCATGAAGCCACTAGATGGTGGGCACGATAATGGCCATCAATTACATTTTAATGCCTTTTTATGACTGTGATACATTTCCAGTGATATATGAAGAACCATCACCTGTTATTTTACTGTTTTTATTTCAGTGCACAGTAACTTGCAGGAGTCCACATCACTCGTCTGATTAAATCCAATAAACAGTTAGAGGCTCTGTAGTATGAATAGCCTTTATTTTCTGTTGAGTCATAGATCAACTGCAGATTGATATGCCTTCCAGATATGTTAGAATAAATCTTTGGCATTTTCAGCTAGCATTGCAAATCCAGTTTAAGGGAACTGTATCTTAATGCATTTCAAAGCTGGAGAAGGATGATGTGTAAATTGAAAACCAGTTTCTACAGATTAATTTCTAGAGCTGTGCAGAGCTTCAGAAATAATTTGCAAAGGTTTTTTTCTGGAGTGCACAGGACAATAACTGTAGCATCTGTCTGCAGCTCTTTAAAGCACCCAGATCTTTGCTCAAGGTTGCTTGCTGGCTTTTGTAGCTGTCATATGATCAGGGAAATAGTGTGGCTGTTTTAAAGAGCTGCATAAAATATTACATTCACAAACCACATAGTCTGAAGTACTGTTTTGGTACCAAGTTCAAAGCATATCTGTATTATTTTCCTCAGATATTACTTTCAGATGAAAAACAAAGCTCAAGCAGCTAAGCATTCTTTATAAAACATATTTAAAAGCCAAGTAATATTCTTTTCTATTATTAGTTTTTGTCGGCAGGAAGTTATTTGGAAGATAATTTTAAAGTGTGAATGAGAATATAAGGTCAAATAACTTTTTACAGTGTGTTGCACATATGGTAGCGTATAACTTTTGCAACTTGAAGTATTTAGTAAACATTTATAGGCCTTTCTCTCAGCTTTTCATATACATATACTGTATGTCGTATGAAAAATGAGTCTTCAAACCAGTGTGTGTTGGGCACCTAACCAGTAACTGACTGCTATTTAATATAATAGCAGTTAAACTTATATACCGCTTCATAGGGCTTTCAGCCCTCTCTAAGCGGTTTACAGAGTCAGCATATCGCCCCCACA